TCATAAAGTATATTATAGAGAAATTAATAAAGATCTAGGATAAATACCTCCTATAGGCCCTCTTTACTATATATATATAGATTTATATAGTAATAAGAAAAAGCCCCTTCTACCTCCTATATAGTATTAACCCTTATATCCTAGGTGATAATAATAAGGGACTAGTAAATGGTAACCTTATAGAGGCAGAGAGACAGCTTTAGTAGGTTAACTATATCTAATTATTAGTAAATAAACTACTATTAAACTATATAATAAAGATAAAAATAATATATAATAGCCTAATAATAAAAATAGGCTTTAAAAAAGGCGATTAGGTATTAATTAAAAATAAATTACTAAAGAAGCTAAAGAGTAAGTGGTTTAGTCTATATAAGATACTAAAAATACACCCCCTAAATATATATACCCTTAAAGAACCTGGCAGATGAGTGCTGCAAAACCTAATTAATAGTTAATAATTAATTACCACTAAGGTAAATAAACTAAGCTAGCTATAGATATTAGTGATAATATAATAGATACTATACTAATAAGGTATTATACTTTAGTACTTAGTTAAAGTAAGAAAAATCCTAGAGGAATAAGAACTACTACTACCCTTCTATAAAGAGTTATTAATAATTATAAAAAAAGAGTAGATAGCAGCAGAGAGACAATAGATAATAAAATATTTAAAAGAATACTTAAAAATAAGGAAGAGAGAGATTAATAAAGATATTAATAATAATACTATTATAGAGCACATAATTAAAAAGGCTTAATAAAAGGTATAATAAAAGAAATAAAACCCCCTAATAAAGATAGTAATTTAATAATAAAGGGATTAATAAAGGATAATATTAATCTCCTTAGAAAGCACCTCTAAATAGGAGGCATCTAAGAAAATAATATTTAATAATAATATATTTAAAGATAACTATAATAATAGGGACAACTAAAAGACTAATCTTAGACTATAGAACATTAACGCCTAGAATAGTATTAACTTTAATAGACTATTTATAGTAGTTATCTAAATAATTATAAGATAAGGTAAAAAGGTAAAAAATAAAAAAGAGAAAAGCCTATATCTAATTATATAAATAAGGGGTAAAGAGATCACCCCTTAAAGAGCACTAAAAGACACTAAGAAGAAATTTATTATAGAGTTTATTAAAAAAAAAGAGACTAGCTATAAAGAGCTAATAATAATACTTTAGGATATAAATACTAATTATTTCTTATAATAATACTTTTTTATATATAGAAGATACTCTCTCTATAGATTCTTCTTCTCCTCTTTCTTTACAGCGGCAGTAGTAGCAATTAATATACCCTTATAAACCTTAAAGATAGCCACTTACTAATATATATTAATAATAGCCTAATAAATCTTTAGCAAATTATTAATATTAGTATTTAATAAGAGGAATAAAATAATAGGGGGGGTATTATTATAATTAATAAGTTAAAGAGAACTATTAATTAGACTCTCTTAATAAGTATCTATAGTCTCCTTAACTTTTTAACCTATAAAGTTAAAGTAAAGAACTAGAAACTCCCTAAAATAATATACTATCTCCTTATAAGAAATAGTTAAATACTAGAGCGACACCTTTAGGGGAGCAGAACCTAAAATAGTTTAATAAGGAGTTACTTAAGCCTTTATTATAGCTAGAATAGTAAAAGTACTTAATTATAAGCTAACTAAAGTAGCGCTAATACTAGTAGTAGATAATAAGTTTAATAAGACTAAAAGAATAGTAGAAAATATAGTAGTTAATATAGAATTAATAGTAGAAGTAGTAGAAATAATAGAAGTAGTAGAAGTAATAAGTAATAGAGTCCTCTTCTTCTTAACCTCTTTTCTTTTTTACTACTTTTTATACTTATTCTTCTTCCTCTACTCTTTATTATTATTATAGTTAACACCTACGACATATTAGCAACTAGTAAGGGAAAGACCTAGGAAGAAATAAATATAAGTTATAATTAATACCCTTATTATAAAAGAAATAATTTATATATACCTTAATATAGTAAACCTTATACTTATCTTTATTAATCTCCTTAATAGGAGGTGTAATATAGGTAGTCTAGGGACTATTACTATAAGTATACTTTAAATAAAGGTCAGCCGCTATAGGCCCCTACTTAAAAATAATAATAATAAAGAGCTTTAATATATAGCTTAAGACTAACACCTAGCCACCCTAAAAGAAGTCCTAATATATATAAATAATAAGAAATAAATAAATAAGCTTATAATTATTAAAGGAGGTTATATACGCCTTTAAGAGAAGTTTAATTTTTATTACTATTAGCTATATCTTACTCTTTAGATTAATAAACTTATAATAAGTGATGGGCGCTAGACCACTATGACTAGTAACCTACTTTAAATAATAAGAGCCTAATAGAGGCTAAGGGGGAGACTCCTTAATAGGTAGTAAAGAAGTCCTAGGAGGCACTAGATACTTAGCCTTTAATAAATAATAAAAATAATTAAACTTATAATAAGAGTACTAGATAAGGGACTTAAAGTCCCCAAATTTACTATTAGAAGCTATTAGTAGAGGATAGTTATAAGAAGTAATAATAGTAAGAGAGGGAGTAAAAGAAGAATTACTACTAAATAAATAAAAAGATATACTCTTTATTATAAATAAAGAGGTTACTAGGTCACCTAGTAATAGTAATTATAAATATACCTTATACCCTCACCTAGGACTAGGTGACCCCCTATTAGTTAGTGGGTAATTAATAAAATAATTAAAGAATAAGTCTTTATTCACTAACTATAGGCCCTTATTAAATAGGATCTATAAGTCACCTATTAATAACTAATTCATCTTAATAAGGCCCTAGAGGGAGGATTAGGACTTCATAGATAAAGTTCTAATTAGGTAGGGGAGGATATAATATTATAAGTAAGTAATATTATAAACTCCTATATAGCTATAAGTAAGATTATCTTAGTAAAATGCTAAGGTGTCTACTCACTAATAATATAAGATCTCCTAACCCTAGTAAAGTGGTTATATAAAGTTTTCACTCTATACTAGGGATTAATTAATTCTATAGAGTTCTATTATCATCAGGTTGCTTAGCTTTTAATGAGCTAAGGGGAGATATATAGATACCTTCCCTCTAACCCATAGTAGCAATAGGACAGAGATTTTCTAGAGACCATTAGCTTTCAAATATCACACTGGTCTATAACATGCCATCAACTAGCATATATATGGTGAATCTAGATTAGTTATTATAGACATGTATGCTTGCGCCTAAATCTAGGATATAGCTGTTACTTAACATATATCCTATAATACTATTTATATTAAATAGTTTACCTACTTCTTATCAGGTATATATATCATCCATATTAATGGCTTAGCTCATCATGGAGCTCTTGGTCATATACTTATCCTTATTAGGTTTAATATATATACTATAAATATTATATATCTAATAGGTGGCATTGGCATCGCGTGTCTCTCCTCTCTTTATATAGAGCTTATTTGCCTTCTTGCGGGCCTTATCTATAGTACTTTTTAATATAAGGATTCTCTCCTCTACCTATTTAAATCTCTTTATAATAGTATCATCCAGTTTCCATCCTGGCTTCCAGATATACTTATTAATATATAGGTATATATTAAATAGATGTCGTTCGCCACATATACATTTATCCCTTTTCTTTAGTTTATAAAGACCTTAAATCTAATCCTTATTAGCCTCCTTTTTGGCTTCCTTCTGTCCATTTTTGTCATGTCCTTTATATATTATAAATGCCATATCTATAGAGTTAGTATGCTTACTTAATTGCATCATGAGATATTATTAAAAATCTACTAATAGTTTATTAATAGTTGTCACCTGCAGGTCTTCGCGTTAAAGCTCTAACTCTATATTTAATATATAGCCTTTATAAAGTTAATTAATATAGCTTAAGAACTATAGTATTAGCTGCACCTTATCTATAACAGCTCTAATCCTTACACCTTTATAGTTATAGTATATAGATTCCCAGCTATTTAACTATTCATTTAGATTAGTCTTTAATATACATTTATTATTAATATTTCTTCATTAATTTATTAGCTTAGCTTTATGGTGCGTCTCTATTGGTGCTAGACATATTTATAACTACTTAATCATCCCCTTTACAGTGTCATCATTAGCCATAATAATTAGGAGATTAGTTTATATAGACCAAAATATATAGCTTAAGATATAGGAGATCCCCATCTTTAATCATTTATATTCCTTTTACTTATAGTAATACTCTTTATTGGCTTTAATATATATAATCAGTTAGTGTCCCTCTAGGTCCCTAGATAATCATGCCTCTTTATTATAGTCTATAATATCTAGAGCTATTAGCGGCTCCAGTTTTATATTATCATCTAGATTAACATAATCCTAGATATTATATAAATCTACGACGATTTGCAGGGCTTTATACTAAAGATACTAGTCTATACTATTCTTTAGTAGGACTAATATCTTTATGTTGTCTAATATCCTATCTAGAATGCTTATTATCTTCAGCTTATTAGCAGTATATTAGTAGTCTATATACGCAGCGTAGGTTTACAAATATCATTTCAGCTCAGCGGTATCATTAATATGGCGGTTCCATGTCTTCAGCAGGTCTTTAAAGCTTATAGATAAATATAATAATAATTAAGAGTCAATTAGGCTCATAACTTTAATAAATCCTATATATATTCAGGGCCAATAGTATCATATTCCTATATGATTCACATACTCAGGCCTATCTGACGTCGGTCAGGCCAGATATGCCTAGTAAATAAAAAATCAGAGTGTAATGCTAACTACATTAAGCTTAGCTAGTCAGGTGACGGTGTAAATATACGCGAATCATCCTGATTGGCAGCCTCAAGGTCATCCTTTTCTGCAACACATTCTTAGCCATCAAGGGGTTGAACATCTTTGACCTCCATATCATTTCCCTCGTACCATTTTCTCATAGCTTCTGATACCCACTAGAAATGATTGTATCTCGTCTGGTTCATATATGCACTCTCGTTGTGTCTTTGGTTGTAGGCTTGGACGTGCTGGACTATGTTGATCCGCTCATTGGAACCGCCAACGGAGGCCATGTCTTTCCTGGAGCAACCTTGCCATTTGGTTAGCTTTGCTAGAAGATGGAGGTAGATAGAGTGCTCAAATTACTGACCGAATAACTTCTCTAGGCATGGCAAAGGCAGTCGCAGACACAACCAGGGACAACCAGGGCGGTTTTGCGAGCGACTCGAGCAAAGTCACGGGTTTCTCGCACGTGCACGACTCTGGCACGGGAGGAGTACGTCAAGATTTCTCCATCACATTCCCCTCCTTATCTACCCCTATCCAGCTTTCTATTGTTTCCATTCCAGTTGTCCTGTTGAGCCATCTATTGATGACGACGATGGGCATCTTTAGGCTGCCTCGCTGGGAAACTTCCCTCTCTTCCCCCAGGACTGCCCTGAGCTCACCAAATGCGCCTGGGAATCCTCTAAGCGGGCCTCTAACTGGACAAACGCTACAGCTCGTCCCGGATATTTTGGCATTGAGCTAGACAACGGGATCAGAGCAGAGATGACTGTCACAAATCACACGGCGCTGTATCGATTTGAGTTTGCAAACTCTACCAACCCCCTGATACTGGTGGACCTGATTGATCTTCCCATTTCCAGATCCAAGGGGTTCGCGGCTGTAGACTCTTCTACAGGCCGAATGACCGGTAACGGGACTTTTAGTCCGAGTTTTGGAATTGGGCATTATAATTTGTATTTCTGTGCCGACTTCCAGGGAGCTGAAATTCATGGAACCGGTGCCTGGCAGAAAGAGAATGCATCGACCATTAAATCAAACATTTCTGTGGCGGGAGAAGGTAGTGGTGGTGTATTTGTGAGGTTCAAAAAGCCAGCAACTGATTCCAGGACTGTCATCACCGCCCGTGTGGGAATCAGTTTCATAAGCATTCAGAAGGCCTGTCACTATGGGGAGGAGGAACAGCCCGGGTTCGATCTCAAGGAGACGGTTGGGGCCGCAGAAATGGCGTGGAGGGCAAAGCTGGGTGTCGTCTCAGTCAATACAGCAGGGGCTTCGGATGGCTTGCTGAAGAGCTTCTGGAGCGGTCTGTATCGAGCAATGATCAGTCCACAGGACTATACGGGCGAAAACCCACTCTGGGACAGCGACGAACCGTACTATGACAGCTTCTATTGGTAGGTGGGCTTAGTGGAAAGGAAAGAAGTTAACTGTGGCTGATAGGGAATATATATAGCATTTGGGACTCTTACCGGGCTGCCCATCCGCTATTGACACTGGTGGACCCTTTGTCGCAATCGAGAATGATACGTAGCCTGGTAGATATCTACCGCAATGAAGACTACCTCCCAGATTGTCGGATGTCGCTATGCAAAGGATACACGCAAGGAGGATCAAATGCGGATGTGCTCATGACCGAGGCGTACCTAAAGAGAATCCCCGATATTGACTGGGATACAGCATTCGAAGCCGTCGTGAAGGATGCCGAGGTAGAGCCGGCGAACTGGGATGTTGAAGGGCGTGGAGGGTTGAACAGTTGGAAGACCTTGGGGTACATTCCCAAAAACAACAACGACACGTTGGGAACGGGTCTCAAGACTCGTAGCGTTTCCCGGACGGTCGAGTATGCGTACAACGATTTCTGCATTGCAATCTTAGCAAAGGCGCTGGGGCATGACAGTGATCATAAGAAATATCGACAGCGGGCCTCAAATTGGCAGAATCTTTACAATAGCAACCAGACCTCGAGCATCGGCAATGTCAAAACCAATTTTACCGGCTTCCTTCAGCCTCGTCTTGCTAACGGGGCATGGGCGTACCAAGACCCCATCCTGTGCAGTCCCTTATTGGATTTCACCGGCTGCTACCTGACAGACACCGGCCACGAGACATATGAGGGGAGTGCCTGGATGTATACCTTTTACGTACCCCAGGATATGGCTGCTCTCATCAAAACCCTTGGCGGTTCCAAAGAATTTGTGTCTCGGCTTGACTTTTTGCACGAATCTGGGCTGCTCTATATGGGAGACGAACAGGCCTTTCTGCCCGTATACCAGTACCACTACGCAGGCCGTCCTGCGTTGTCAGCTCGACGCGCTCACTCATACATCCCTTCGCAGTTCAACACATCTGTGTCTGGCATTCCCGGAAACGATGACAGCGGGGCCATGGGCTCTTTTCTTGTGTTGAGCATGATAGGCCTCTGGCCCATTCACGGACAGGACGTTTACCTGATCAACCCACCCTTCTTCAAGGAGGTGAGCATCCGCAATGGTATTACGGGGAAGCTTGCAACGATACGCAACGTCAACTTCGATGCGAGCTACCGGAATATCTTCATTCAGAGCGTGCGGCGAGACGGAGCCAAGTGGACGAAAAATTGGATCGGCCACGACTTCTTTCTGGAGGGAGGAATACTGGAAATCATCCTGGGAGAGCGAGAGAGTACATGGGGGAGCAAACATGAAGACTTTCCTCCAAGTATGAGCTTGTAGGATACATATTGTTGAATGAATTCCGCTGCATTCCGCGCTGACAAAGATGCGGGGCATCATGAGTCCTATAAGATGCAATTACGTAGCTACCTAACTACTCGATATATTATTATTTATGCACTTAGGCAAGTAAAGTCTTCTCAAACTCTTCTCAACAAACCATCGCCATGTCTGAAATCCACAAATCTGGGACTGCCGACGGATGGCACGGCGTCATCAGTCCAGACAGCGAGTTTCCTCCTGAAAAAAGCCGATACCATCTATACATTGGTAAAAAAAAAACAGCAACATGGATATCAAAATTGCAACTAACTAACGGTGGATTTGGAAAAGGTCTATTCTGCCCCTTTGCTCACCGGGTGAATCTTGTCCTCCATCTCAAGGGATTGACGGATCTCATCGACGTGTCGGTCGTGTATCCGTATCCCAAGGGTGATAGTAAGGGATGGCCTGGTTGGCGGTTCCCACCGGATAATACCGAGTACGACCTTGCAACGGTCGACAAGCTGTTCGGCAGCTCGTACTTGCATGAGGTGTATTTCCGCGCGGACCGGGAGTATAAGGGGAGGTATTCTGTTCCCTTGCTTTGGGACACGAAGACGAACAAGGCGGTCAATAATGTATTCTTCTTTTTCTTCTTCTTCTTCTCTTTCCTTGCAGGTAAAATATTTTGATTGCTGACTCGGTGATAGGAAAGTGCAGAGATGCTCCGTTGGCTCCCCTCGGCGTTTGACTCGATATCGCCTGATCTGGCGGAGTTGGATCTGTACCCATCTGCACTGAGAGGGGAGATTGACGACATATCCGAGTGGATGCAGGCTCATGTGAACGCGGGGGTGTACAAAGCCGGATTTGCGAATAGCCAGGAGGAATACGATGCCAACGTGGTGAAGGTGTTTGGTGCGCTGAACAAGCTCGAGGAGATCGTGTACGCAAAGGGGGGCCCGTTCGTGCTGGGCAAGACGCTGACGGAGCTCGACGTACGCCTGTACGCGACGCTCATCCGTTTCGATACGGTGTACGTCCAGCATTTCAAGTGTAACCTGGGCACGATCCGGCATGATTACCCCGTCTTGAACAATTGGTTGAAGCATTTGTATTGGAACGTCAAGTCCTTCAAGGAGACGACAAATTTCAAACACATCAAGGAGAATGTAAAGTTTCTTCCATTTCCGGATTCCTGCTGTCGATTCACTGCCCTGACTGACTGTGACCTTAAAAAAAAAGTATACCAAAAGCCATTTTGATATCAACCCCAAAGCGATCACTCCTATGGGTCCGTTCCCGGACATTGAGACTGGTGTCGAGGAGGATTTCTCGCGGCTCAAGGTTGGGAGTGTGAATCATCTGGCCGTGGTGGAATTCCAGCGGACTCTGGGGTAAAATGGATGGTTGTTTTTATCGCCGTCATAATCGTCGATTGTTTCTTTTGAAGATCCAGGGAATCGTAATATATGTACATTCATGATCGTCGTGTCTCAATGCAAAATTTCGTGAACTCATCTTTTTTCTCCCCACCATGCACTCATCTCGAGACACTCGGCCGTCTTCCACACGCGGTTCTGCAGGAGGTCACCCGACATTGCGCCTGCCCAGCTGCCGAACTCATCTTCGTTCATTCCGCTCGCTTCCATCAGCAGAGGCTCCATGGCTTCGATCATCTGGACGACCGTCAACAGTGCCGAGTGGCGGATTGCCCACTGCTTCGCTGTTAACCCCCTGCCGTTCTCCCATGGCAGCTCGCCTAGCGGGATCGCCATACGACGAGTCCCAACGCGCACAAACTGCCGGTCCGCCTCTTCTTTGTCGCGAAAGAAGAAAGCCTGGATCTGCGTCGACGGCTGGGTGGTGACGCCTTGTTTCTCGAACGCCTTCTGCGCCCAGCTGTTGTATTCTTTGATAAACCGGTTCCCCGGGTTGGTGAACCGCGCTGTCGGCATGGACGCATATGTTGCCGTCTGCCCGGCGATTTGTAGCTCTTTTTTTCGGCTCTGTGTATATTTTTTGCCCCTTTCTGCGTCTCCCGATCTTTCCTCTGGCATGGGTGGTAGCAGTGATCGAAAAACCCAGTCAGAATCCCAAACTTCCAAAATGCCCCCTAGGCATAGCACTCGCATCGCTTCTGTCAGTACGGGAGATGATGTTGTCGAACTGGCAATCGAAGATAACGAAGATGACGAAGAAAAGGAGGCAGAGGTTGAAGGAATTGAGCGGGTGGTCATATTAGCAAGCGATGCTGCGATTGCAGTGGGGGCATACAACCCCAGATCTCGGATGAAGACAAAGTCAAAAGATGCGTCCTCAAATGGTAGGGTGGGCGATTTCTGCAGGTTATGTCGAGTCACATGCCAGTTCATCCCGAGTTGGCTCCATTCCGGTGTCTGAGGTAGCAGATCTAGCCCATGAAAGGAGACATTGTGAGAATTTAGCCAGTCGCGACACTGCGACGACCAGAAACCGGCAGCCAGACTGATCTCCAGCACGCGTTTTGGCGACCTATGGGCTGAGATGGGCGCACAGATAGGCCCGCCGAAGACATTGATGTACAACATGCAGCGCAGAATGCGACGATGAATCTCCAGCAGGTCACAGGGCAGCGGGTAAAACGTCGTGATGCCTTGCTTGAAGTAGACACGGTCTTTGCGGTGCACTAGCGAGGGGAAATTGGGCTCGCGTCTAGCCATCGCACGGCGGTAGAGCAATTGCATTTCCATGGGAGGCTGCATCATATGCACAGCAGCACCGAATGTTATGCCTACAACATCCATCTTGTCGGTGAGGGACGAGGCCTGTCGTCTTCTGTTGTTGTCGTTTCTCTTGTCGTCGTCACATTCCTTGAGACACTGTATATAGCAGAGTCAGCGGCCAGGAAGCAACCAAACACAGACGATTCCATGCCATTAGAAGTTGCAAGAAGGAAGGAAAGAGAGGAAAGACAGACGTATTATTATTATTATTATTATTATTACCCAAAAGGTTATCGGTTAGCTTCATCCGAGGAAGGTTTCAGCCATCTCGATAGCTTCGTTTCGGCGGGGAATCCGGCCCCATCTGATATAACTGACTGGAGGCAGTACGACACGCAAAGTCTTGAGAAGGGGGCGCTCTGACTCGTACCTGCCCGGACCTGGGCTCTCTGAAATGTGATTGTTATTCAATAGGGCTGGTGTGGGGGTTTCCACACGAGACAAGAATTAGTATATTGGATGGAATGCGTGAGCGAGTTTCAAGTCACTGGTCACGAACTGCATCACGAGGAGTCAGGCATCCAGGCACCAAAGGCACGTGCATGCCCCTGCTTTTTTATTCTACGAGTCTCTCCCACCGGAGTTTCCCTCTCACACAAAACCTCCCTCTCAGCGCGTGGAGTACGCAACCAGCGCAAAAACTAGACGGACTCGGTCCAAGGCAACAATCAAAGACCCTCCAAGCCCTGCAAATGGCCTGTGTTTGCCCCGTGTTTGATGCAGGGGATGGATGCCATCCTCTAGTCCGGTGTATGTTCGGCCTGCTGCGCCGCGGAAGTTCCTGGGGGAGACGGCGAATTATACGACGTGGCTATCGCTACCTTTGCGTTTGTGGGCCGCTAATGGGCATCTAGTAAGCTCAGCTGGTTGAGTTTTCGTGGGAGACCGAGACCTACTACATATGTAGTACTGCTTATCAATAATATTGACGCACACTAACTAACTAATTAACTATAACTAACTAGTAACTAACGACTACTCCGTACATGACTACCGAATCTCCGCAGATCATACCTTTTGAAGGGACTTCGTTCGAGGTTTGGGCGATGTACGGAGCATGTCGCTGGGATACGTCTCGCTCCAAACGACTGACTAATATTTCGCCGGATGGATACAATCATCCCTGGCATGCATAACCAACTATCTCAGTGCTCGGAAAACCATGGCTGTCTACTCGATTCGGACTCTTGGAAATTGGAATAAGGAGTACTTACCCCGTACTCCGAATCTCGCTCCGCAAGTCGCTCGTGCTCGTCTCCACAAATGGACCCGCCGCAGAACCCTGTCCAGGCCTTTACGGAGTACCGAGTACGACCAGGACGGGAGATGGGGTATGGGATGCTCCAGGTGAGCCCAAGTGCGACTGGATTCTTTGCAGTTGAGGGTTCCTGGCCCAAGATTTCAGCCATATCGATGACATTGGCGCGCCGTGTTACCCTGCCGCCACAGTTAAGGATTGATTGCTGCTAATGCTAATAGTACGGAAATCTTCTACTACATATCGGCATTGCCTGCCATGATGTGATATATCGGAGTAAGTAATCTTGCATAGTTAGCATTTATTTGCCTCATCTTCAAGTCCTGCCAGAAAATAGCTATTCAACAGGTCTCACTTTTCATATACCTAATTAATACGGCAATCTTGTAGAACCCCTTAGCAGGTTAATATTAATCTAAATGTAAAGTAACCTAGACTTTCTTAGTTGTAGTTTCTACTCTACACATGAAGCTTCTAGCATCTTATCGTTTCTAGGTCCCTTTCGCGAAAAGTGATTAGGCAACCACTGCACATGACTCTCTATTCTCTTGAGTCTTGAGTCTTGAGTCTTGAGTCTTGAGTCTTGAGCCTTTCTGTATCTTGCTCACTGTCCACTCGGGAATAACTTTCACCTCCTCGCTCTTCTCAAGAGTCTCGTCAGAAATGCACAGCTTCCATTAAACGTCCGTCTAGAGTCCTAAAACCATTTCATTGCTTACTATTTTGCCCGTAAGGCAGACGCAAGTAAACTCCAGGATTCCTCCCCATTCAATTTTCTTCATCCCAACACTTTTTGCAGACAGTACGTCTCTCTCCAAAGCCTCACTACCTGGATACAAATTGCATCGTCCGAATTGATTCACTCCCCTAGCACGCAGTGGTCCCCGACACACACACATTGCCCGGGCAGCATGTCTGCTTCAAGCAGATCTGACCAAGGGGACAATCCTGACTGCCAGCATTACACTTGGTCAACGAGTCGCACGTCGACTCTGGGATCGCCGCACCGCAGAATCCGGGACCCTCAGCTGTAAGGTAACAGAAACATGTGTTGGTCGGTCCGCAAGGTCCGCTCTGGAAGTGGGCAGTGCATTTCCCGATGTTGGTGCAGGTCGAGCTGCACACCCCATTGTCGCAGACTCCTGATGAGCACTAGGGGGTCACTGCGTGTCAGCCTTATTTTACATTCTCATCATGAATGAGGGGAGAACATACAATGTTACCGCAGGTTCCACAGTTGTCGGGGTCATTCGCAAGGTTGATGCAAGTTCCGCTGCAAATAGTCTCGGAGTCGGGACAAGTACATGTCCCTGAAGCGCAGGTTGCAGTGCTGGGACACTGAGAACTATTAGTACATATATCTGGCTGGGAGACTGATATTCAACAAACCACAGTGCCGCATGCTCCACAGTTGTTGGGATCAGTCGCGGTATTGGTGCAAGTCCCGTTGCAAATAATCTCAGAGCCAGGGCAAGTACACGTCCCTGCAACACAGCTCGCGGTGCTGGGACACTAAGGATTATTAGAAGATGAAGTCAGCTGGGAGACTGATTTTAAACAAACCACAGTGCCGCATGCTCCACAGTTGCTGGGGTCAGTCGCGGTATTGGTGCAAGTCCCGTTGCAATTGATCTCGGAGCCAGGGCAAGTACATGTCCCTGCAACACAGCTCGCCCCGATGGGACACTGAGAACTGTTAGTATATACATTGGATAGGTTACTTGCATTTCAACAAACCACATCACCACATCCTCCGCAATTATCAGGGTCAGTTGCAGTATTGGTGCAAGTGCCGTTGCAATTGGTCTCGGAGTCAGGGCAAGTACACGTCCCTGCAACACAACTTGCACCAATAGCACACTAAAG